AATTAATTTTGATTTAATAGTCCTATTGTTTTTTAATGAGTGAACCATAGGTACTTAAATAAAGAGGAAGACTACGAAATCACTTCCTTAAACATAGGGCAGACAAATGTAAGTCCAAATAGCAACCAATACAAAGTAAGTCCTCAGAATAACTGACTTGGTAGTTATAACTGAATTGGTATTAACTCTCCAACAAATATTCTCCAAATATATGGGATGAAATCACAGCCTAGAGGACAAAGACAGACATTTTGATGATCTTTCACATCAAGAAAAATACACAAAGCCAGGAATTGTGCTATGAAAGCAGTCGCTGGTCAGTCTTTTGCTCAAAAAAAGGGAGGCCAAATTTCCTTTATGGGAGGTTAATCTGATTAGCACATAAATATGGTTAGGTGATGTAGTCACTTCAGCACTATGTTAGTTTCATAGTGTTAGTTATTCTTGGTTGAACTGTTTCAAATTCCTCTTAGTAATTAAACTTTGCAGAGTTCTTACCCTCAGCTTCCTGCTCCATGCTTTACCAAGATCCTCTGGGATAAAGAACAGAAGAAGCAATGAGATATAAACTCAAATAGGAGCAAAATGCCCAATTTGAAGTCTTCTCAACCAAAGGCTCCTGCTGTAGAGTCACAGAATCCCTCATCAGCTGCCCTACTCTTCAGTAACAGTGAATAATTTAAATCTTTGTATTGCATGAATATGGACAGATGTGTGGAAATGAATATATATCTTTAATGTAAAGCCAAATGATAGGAGGATATAAAAGAAACTGCAGCAATATGTGGTCTTTCTTAGAAAGAAAGTTATAGTCTGCTATAATTATATAAAGGAAATAAAAGAAATTTGTATTGTGATACCACTTTACCCAATCTTAGGACCTCTGCATGCACATGAAGTTCTCATGCCAGCAAACAAACACCAGCCACATAAATATAGGAATTTGCAGAATTGGCAAAGCAAAATAATGATTTTAAGCAAAAACATATACACATTATGATAAAGTAAATGGGTCAAATTTAATTCATTTTAGTGTAAGATTTTATTTCCTGAAGTGAAAGAAAAAAAAGAAGAAAAAAGTATCAGTGGTAGGACTTCTGGCTATAGTCAAATGAAGAAATTGTCAAATTATTTCCCTCAAAAATAACTATAAATCTGGACAAAATTAACAAAAACAACCATTTATGAATTCAGAAAAGCAGCCAAAGGAATACAGAAGCCTAACCAGAATTTACAGCTAACAAACTGCTAAGCTTAGGATAGGAAGAGTGGCAGTCTGTGGCATTCCAGCCCTGGACTGCTCTCATCTCTACCCACTGCCCCCAACACACAGCTGCTAGCAGGGCAGAGCAGGTATAAGCTCTGGTAGCTTCTCAGTCACAGCCAAGGGAAGTGTACTCAACAAGGACCACTGGGCAATGCCCAGGCCCAGTAGCATTGTTGGTAGATGTGACTATCTTAGAGCCAGGCAAACATGAAAGGCCAACATTCCAATATCTGGACAGAGGAGGCCTCCACTAGACTGAAACTTTGTGGCTGTGGCATATAACTGAGGCAGCAGGCATGAGCAGTAGAGACAGGAGAAAGAAGGCTAGGCCAGCACACATTGCACGTTGTCCCAGAGGCTATCCACATGCACACAGCAGAGACACAAAAGACCCCCAGTAAAACTGAGCCAACCTGAAAATGGCCTGAACTTTGAGTGTTCCTGTCATATACTCATAGGTCTCTCATCAGAAGACAAAAATCTTGTTGGACTGATATGGTTGAGTCTAACCTCTACCCACTCACTGGCTGGCAACAGGCCTGCGTAAAAACAGGCATGACTTCTATGCAGCCAGGCTTAAATAAATGGAAACAAATTTGAAAAAATAAACTGAGCAGAATCATCAATAGCCACTTACTATAAGGGAAAAACTTTTCATAGATTTATTCCAGGTAGATACAAAATGAACAAATATTTTTAAAAAGAGGAACAATTATAAAAATGTTCAGTTTTCAATAAAAATTATAAGACATAGGCAAAGAAAACAAAAATTGTGATCCATAATAAAGGAAAAAAGAAGTCAGTCGAAATTGTTTCTAAGCATTTCTTGATGCTAGATTTAGTAGAAAAACATTCAATGCAGCCATTAAAACTATGATCAAGCAATATATGTTTAAAGAATTAAAGGAAAGTTTGATAATGGAGATTCTGAAGAAAGACATGCAAGTTATAAAATAAAAAAATCTTTAAGCAAAAAGTACAATAAAAGAAATGAAAAATTCACTGAAGGGTTACCATCAGATTCAAGATGGCAGAAGAATCGGGGAACTTGAACATAAATCAGTAAAAGTTACCCAATACAAAAATTAAGAAAAACAAGATTAAGGAGAAATAAGCATAAACTCATAGATTTGTGCACTAATATCAGAGTTTGAACAAAGAATGGACCAAAAAGAGGAGAGAAGATAGAACAAATTAAAAAAAGTTTGAGTAAATAATGGCCAGAACGTTCTCAAATTTTTCACATGGACAAATAAACATCAGAAATGACAATTACACATGTTAGTGTATAACACTCTGAAAATATAATTTTCTTATATATTTTCTTATCTTCTTTAAAAGATTTAAGATTGTACAAAGTGGTGATTATATGTTGTACTGAATTTATAGCATATAAAATATAGTATGTATGATTAACAATAGCACAAAAAAGGAGGAAGACAATGGAGCCATGTCAGGGATATACAAAGCCATATTGTTCAACAATGAAAAGGAGCAAACTGCTGATGTTTCCTACAACATGAATGGAGTTCAAAAACATTATGTTAAGTTAAAGAAGGCAGACAACAAAAACTACTTGTTGCATGATCTATTAATATAAAATATCAATATAAAGAAAATTGATATAGGCAGAAAAAAAACAATATTTTTCTAGGCTAGGTGTTTGGATGAGGGTTCAACTGAAAACAGGCATGAAAACAATTAAGGGATGATAGAAATGTTCTAAACTCATTTATGGTGACATTTGTACAAGTCTATAGATTTACTAGAAAATCATATACTTGCAGTGGTTATATTACATGGCAGGTAAATAACTTAAAAACGTTATTTTAAAAATTGATGTTTATTATGGCAATAAAAATTTGGAAATGTTTGGCATTATAGGCAAAGCTATTGGTGAATAAGAGTAAAAGGTTAAAAAAGAGACATCAGAGACAGAAAATTAAGAAAAGTCTACTTTGACAAGAAGCAATGTGCAATGTGTGTTAACAGTTTATTTCTTCATGACATGTTGGGTTTACAAGTTTGGATTGTCAAGGTAGCCCCCAACACATTAATGGAAATGGCTGTAAGTTACCGGCAAAGTCTCTTGAGATGCCCTCAGAAATCTCTATTTCACACAATACGGTGATTTTATATTTCCTTCTAGTAACAAGGGCTAGGCTACTAACTCAAACACACACATAATGATTTACTAGTTGCTAAGAGACATTCTTCCATGGGTCATAAATGCTCCTACCAGCCTTTCCATGAATTTCCAGAATGCAAGGCCTTGACTTTACTTGAGCCATTTCTCAAAGTTATTTTAGCAGTGAACAACCTTGAAGGAAGAGGTGACATCTCCCCAAACCAAGAGCTGGCTTATCAGTACTATAGAATAGAGAGTTTACTCTATTTTGTGTTCCTCTCCTGTGTGTGAAGGAATCCTTCTATGCTTACTTATGCTACTCCTATGGGAACTGGGGTTCAAGGAAAATATCAGACCATGTTGACACTGGCTACTGGTTTTTCTGTGAGTAATAAAGTATTTCATCTCTGACCCAGAACTTCTGTGTCCTCTATATCAGCATCCATGAAACTATGGCAAGCTAAATTTGTTATCTTGCAGGGAAGATAAAGTTTCAGGTCTTTGGAAGTTTTTAACATTATACTCATGGTTTACTTTACTTAAGCATAAAAAGGAGAAGTCTAAATTTGAAAGCCTGATCTCCATTACATCATCAGGATATTTATTAGCTAAATGATATTGCCCACTCTCCATAAACATTTTTTTAATTTCAAATTAATATTAGGGTACAAATTTTTAGATTACATTGTTCTCACTTCAAAGGTAAAGTTCCAGTTGTAAAAAACCCCCTTGCCCAGGGGGCATGGTATACACCCATATATTGTACCCATTAGGTGAGATCCCACTAAATGCTCTCCCTCCTTCTGTCAATAATCCTTCCCCCTCACCTCTCCCCTTTTCCTCTTCCCCCTGCCCCCATTCTAGACTATATTTGTGTTCTATTATTTATATGAGCATATAATTGTTTATATACTGATTTCATACTACTATTGAGTACATTGGATATTTATTTTTCCATTCTTGTGATACTTTACTAAGAAGAATGTGTTTCAGCTCCATCCAGGTAAACATAAAATATGTAAATCCTTCATCTTTTTTATGGCTGAATAGTATTCATTGGTATACATATACCACAAATTTGTTAATATATGTTTGCATGGCTTTGTAAACTATTAAAATCTATTACAGATTTAAAAGAAGTCAATGATTTTAAAATCTAATTACAAAAATAATTCTATGATGAAATAAATATTAGCCCAGATTCAGTAACCAGTTAAGTTTTTGGTTCAAATAATTCTACCTTGGAGAAGAGGCCTTGGGTAGAAAGGATTTCAAAGATCCTTTGGGAGGAACTAAATAAGGAAGTCTAGTACTCATCCTTGAGCAGTAGCAATGCATTAGGCAAAAGTAGTCTTTGGACACAAACTACTAGGATAATTCTAGCTTTGCTACTTGATTGTTGTATTATTTTGGTTATTTAATCTCCCTCTCTGTAAGTCTCTTAATGTATACAATGGGGAGTAACAATAATATCATCATTATAGTGCTGTAAAGATAAAGAAATGTCTGTGTGTAGAACTATGTCTGGCCCTGAATGCACTCCTGAAATTTTGACTTCTACTTAGACTTGCTGAGTAAATGGCCACATAAGAGAGTGTAGTTCACCTGTGTGAAGTCAGCACTGCAGCACAGCCTTCCTGAACCTCCTTCGTTATTGTTTGCCACAGGTACCGCTTAGAGCAGGGGTCCATCCCAGAGCTAGGCTCATCCTGAAAAAAAGAAAATACAAAGCAATGGGCATTTGAGACAAAAAAAAAAAAAAAAAAAAAAATATTTATAATAACATGTGAAACCAAACCCTGGCTGAGAGAAAATCTCCACTGTGCCTCTAGCAAGCACCTTTCCATTGGCTTTTTTTTCACTTGCTTCAACATAGTCAGTATAATGAGAGAAAGTAAGAGCTTAATAAGTGAGTTCCTGACTCCCCCACTCATGCAGGATGCCAGTCAAGGCCAAATGCTTTCTCATCTAATCTAGATTACTAAGGATATCAGCACAGCCAATAGGTTGAGAAAGGCTAGGAGCAGAGAAAAGAAGCTGTGGATCATACTGACCACCTGAGAACTTTATTAGGAAGCCCACTCACAAACAGACACCTCACAAATGGCCTACAAGCATCTCAAGCACCCAGTATGCCTTATTTTCCCCTTTCCCCAAGCAGATGTCACTAGAGTATGCTCAAATAGGGTGAGTCCATGTGTGACATTCAAACAACCAGCACAACTTTGTGGAATTGAAAGAAAGATGCATGAACTTCACCATTTCAGGGAAATATTCTAGAGTAGTCAGGTTGCAAGCTCTCAGCACCTGACCTGCCGTTGTGTAATTTAGAAAAGGCATACAATCTTAAGAACTTCCCCCCTCCCACCAAGAATGACCAGGAAGCACAGAGCAGGTAAATCTGTTGAAAAGATCTGAGAAAGCCCCAGAATCCCTAACCTGGCTGACTGGGGAAAGCATTTCTTGCACAAAGTCAGTAAAGACCAAAAGAGGTGATTCCTTCTTCAAATGCAAGGTAAATAAAGCAAAGTTTTAAGAAACCTTAAAAAATGGAAATATGATACTATAAAAGAAAACAATTATATTCTAATAACTGACACAAAGGAAATAAAGAATTACAAATTGCCATACATAGGGTTCAAAATACTTATTTTAAGGAAACTCAGTAAGCTAAAAGTAGACAAAGAACAACTCAATGAAAAACAAACAAAAAAAAATACATGAATAAAAGGAGAAGCTCAAAAACAGCTAGAAAAAAATTAAAAGAATCAAATAGAAATACTAAAGCTAAATAATACAAAAAAGTGAAATGAAAATTGCAATAGAGAGTGAAACACAGATCTGATCAAGCAAACAAAAGAATCTGTCAACTTGGAAACAGGTTATTTGAATTTATTCAGGTAGAAGAAATAAAAGAAAGAAGAATGAAAAGAAATAAAGAAAGCTTATAGGGTTTTTGGGACATTATCAAGAGAGCTAACTTCTGTCTTATAAGATGTATTAAAAAAGAAACAGAAGATGCTAGGTGTGGTAGCTCACCTGTAATCCTAGCACTCTGGGAGGCCAAGGCAGGTGGAATTCCTGAGCTCATGAGTTCTAGACAACCTGACCAAAAGCAAGACTCTGTCTAAAAGTAGTTGAGCATTGTGGTGGGTACCTAAAGTCTCAACTACCTGAGACATTGAGCAAGAGGATCACTTGAACCCAAGAGTGTGATGTTTCTGTGAGCTATGTATGGTGCCAGAGAACTCTACTGAGGGCAACAACACAAAAATGAGGGTAACAATGACAAGAAAGAAACAAAGAAAGGAAGGAAGGAAGGGAGGGAGGGAGGGAGGGAGGGGGAGAAAAAGAAAAAGAAAAGAGAAACAGAAGAAAGAAAAGGGAAAAAGCTTATTTAAAGAAATAACTTCTGAAGTATTTTTAAATTTGACAAAAAAGATGACATTGAGATATACTGAAGCTCAAAAGTTCTGAAACAACTTTAACCAAAGAATGATTTACTGAGAGACACAATAATCAAATTGTTAATGATCAAAAACAGATTTTGAAAGCAGCAAGAGAAAAAAGCTCAGCACATACAAGGAAATCACCACAAGGCTATCAGAGATTTTTCAGCAGAAATCTTAAGGACTAGGAAAGAGTGGTATGATATATGCAAAATGCTGGGGAAAAACAAAAACAAACAAACAAAAAAATCCCTAGAAAACCAGGATACTTTACCCAGCAGCACTTTTCTTCAGAAATGAAGCAGAGATAAAGAATTTCCCAAACAAACAAAAGCTGGATAGTTTGATCACCACTACATTGACCTTACAAAGAATGCTAAAGGGAGTTCTTCAAGATAAAATGAAAGGATGATAATTAGTAATATGAAAAAACTTAAAATTATAAAATATACTATAAGGTTAATTATACAGTCAAATTTAGAATATTCAATACATTAATGCCACCAGTATGTTAAAATATAAGAGTATCAAAAATAATTTTAGCAACAATAATTTGTATATATACAATATAAAAAGCTATAATTGTCAGAAACATAAAATAAATGAATAAAAGTCAAAATGTAAATCTTTTTGGTATGTCATCAAAGTTAAGTTGCTTTCAGCTTAAAATAGGGTTTTACAAACATGAAATATTTTATATATTCTGAAGTAGATACACACACACACTCACATACATACATCAAAAAAAAAAAAAAAATTCCCAGAGACAACTGAATCATTATTTCTGGTTTCTCTTCAGATCTCACATGTCTTTTGCCTTTTACTAAAGATAATTGAATCAAAGAATACCAATATAGAAAATTATTAAATCAAAAGGTAAACAAAAGAAGAATAAAAGAACAAATAAACTAAAAACAGCTAGAAAAAAATTAACAAACATTAAGAGTATGTTCTTACATACCAATCATTACTTGCAATGTAAATAGATAAAATCAAAAGACCTAGAGTGAATTATTGAGTAAAACCAAGACCCAACTATATGCTGTCTGTGAGAAACTTGCTATAGTTTTAAGGATACACAGAGAATGGAATGATAGAAAAAGATATTCTGTACCAGGGGTCCTCAAACTTATAAACAGGGGGCCAGTTTACTGTCCCTCAGACGGCAGGAGGGCCAGACTGCAGGACCTGGGCCTAGTTGGCTGCCAAGCAGGACAGGCAGCGGTGGCAAAAACACCCAGTGGGCCAGATAAATTTCCTCAGTGGGCCCCATGGGCCATAGTTTAAGGATGCCTGTTCTATGCAAATGAAAACCCAAAGAGAAGCAAATATACTTTAAGTTAAAAACTGTAAAAGGAGACAATAAAAGTTACTATATAATAGTAAAAGTGTTAATTTATTAGGAGTATATAAAAATTATAAATAGATAAGCACACAACATCAGAGTACTTAATAAATAAGGTAAATGTTAACAGAATTGTCAAAGGAGAAAAAGACAGAAATACAATAATAGTGGAGGACTTCAATATTGCACTTTAAATAATGGATACATCATCCAGATAGAAAATCAACAAAGAAACAGTGTACTTAAGCTACACTAAAAATATTTGGAAATAATTTTATCCAAGAAGGTGAAAGACCTGTATATTGAAAAATATAAAACTTGATGAAAACAATTGAGAACATCAATAAATGGAAACTAGATCAAATGATCAACCATACACAGAACATTTTCTCCAACAGCAGCAGACACACATTCTTCTCTGGCACACATAAAACATTCTCTACAACAGATCATATGTTAGATCACAAAACAAACTTTTAGAAATTTAAGAAGACTGAAATTACATTTAGTACCATTTCAGACAACAACGGTAAAAGGAAAATTGAAAAATTTACAAATATGTATAAATGAAAACAACACACTTCTGAACTACCAATGGGTCAAACATGAAACAAATGAAAATGGAAACATAATATACTAAAATTTGCGAGATGGAACAAAAAAAGTTTTAAGTGGGATATTTATAGTAATAAACACAAATATTAAGAAAAAGAGAAATATTTCAAATTAATAACCTATATATAGAACTAAAGGAACTTGAAAAAGAAATTAGCAAAGCCTAAAGTTTAAAGAAACACAATAATATAAAGTCATATATAATAAGTCCACAGCTAACATCATACTCAACTGTGAAAAGCTAAAATCTTTTCCTCTAAAATGAGGAAGAAGATTAGAATGGCCACTTGGTATGCTTCTATTCAGCATAATACTAGAAGTCCTAGACAGAGCAATTAAACAAGACAAAGAAATAAAAGGCATTTAAGTCAGAAAGGAAGAAGTAAAACTTCTCTGCACAAGGCATTTTCTAGTATATAGAAAAGATTCCACCAAAAAAACAAAAAAAAAATCTGTTATAACTAATAAATAAATTCAATGAAGTCATGGGATACAAAATAAACATGTGAATGTTGGTCATATTTATATATACTAACAATGAATTGTTGGAAAAAATTTTAAACAACCCCATTTTATAATAGCATCCAAAAAACCACTTAGGAATAATTTTAACCAAGGAGGTAAAAGATTTATACCTAGAAAACTTAAAAATTGATAAAAAAAAAAATTGAAGACACAAATAAATGGAAAGATATCTGTTTAGGTCAATTTAAAGAATTAATGCTTTTAGATGACCAAAAATCGCATTACAACAAAGATATTTGTATCAGAATGTTTATCGCAGCCCAATTCATAATTGCCAGGTCATGGAAGAAGCCCAAGTGCCCATCGATCCACGAATGGATCAACAAACTGTGGTATATG